GTGTGACTAGTCCACTTCAGTCTGTGAATACTGAAAAGGCTACTGAAGCGAGCAGTATTATTAAAATCAGTAGCTTCTTCTACCTACCTACTTCATGGAAACGTCTGGCAGGTCAAGACTAGTAAGTTAGATGGAAAAATTAAAAAATATTACATCCATCCTTCTCTTCAGTTTTAGACAAAGTGAAACGGTTACAGGATTGATGCTTTCAACAAATAGTCCGAGTGTTGTAATGCAGCGATACAAGAATTTAAATTTCACAGTCTCTGTCCACTGTACCTTTCAGAAATAGCGGCCTATTCATGGATAGGCTCTTTCAGAGGGTCTGATCCTTAGCAGCCTCTCTCTGGCTTCTTAGAGAATGAGAGGTTTACATCTTGTAGCTGAGAGTCGCTGCTGAAAGGCCTGTGCAAAGTGACTCACTGGCATATTAGCACAAAAGTGCACAACACAAACCCTGTTACCATCCGACTTTGGTGTGGTCCAACAGATGGCCAGCAAGTCAGATCTGGCCTGCTGCCTTTTTCCTGGCTGAGATGGAGCACAACTGTTCAAACAGCAAATGCTGCCTAAACACTCCGACATCTTCTTGTAACCCTTCTATAGTGTAATGGTGTAGGTTCCAAGTGGCTTTGCCCTGTAGGAGCTCCTCTGACTTCCCTCACTACCCCTTTTCTTCTGTCCTGACCTAACAGCTACAGTACTTGGCACTCTGTTTCAAGAGAATTAATTTATGGTGTTGAAAGAGGAACAGGAATCCCAGGTTGCTTTGCCCCATGTCTGCCTGGTTACCTTTGCTAGGCAAACAGAACTGGGTCATAAGAACTGAAATTCCCTTTTGCTCTTAATGTTACTGCTAGGGCCTGATACTGATGAAGTACAGCCAAAGATGAAGGTCAGAGCATACTGCATTACTTTTTTTCAATTAAAGTATATATTGCTAGTGATTACAATTTTTTTTTCCAATGTTCAGTTCGAGCAGTCTGGATTTTGACACCATGTTCTCTTTTTGTTTGTTAGGCTAGCTAGCTAAAATGTAGGCGCAGTGTAATTTTTATTCCTTCTGTGTTCTTGAAGGTTCTTGTGTATCATATAGTTTTGGTTGCAGTAACGTCATGGAAGACTTTAAAAAAAAAAAATCCATTAGACTAAAAACAACATAGAAAAGTTTGTGCTGATCATGTGTCTAAGTTAGCTCTTGCTGAATTTTCAGTTGAGGCCCAATTTAAATTGATCATTTTTCTTAAGTCTGTTTTTCAAGATGTCTGTAATATGTCTTTTATTGGTGTATGAATGTGCACAAGCTTTACAATGTTGGATTTGCAAAAGAGTCTTTTCTTTACTTTATAGCCAGAAGTTAAAAGAGAAGAAACTGCAAGCTAAGAAAAACAAACTTGAACAAAAGAAGCAGGAAAAAGGTCAGTGAAATTTATTTTTATTTTCTCAAGAATTAGTTCTGTTCCCTAATCAGAGCACACCACCCCAGCAATTCTCAATACATGGATAGGAAGATTGAGCCTAAAGGTTGTTATTTTAGCTGATGTTTCAAAAGTCCTCTTTGAAAGACATCTGTGTTGAGATTTAATCTTACAAATAACTTGCCTGTTTGTGAATATTTTCCCATTATTAGGGGAAATTTTGCAGAGCAAACATTGGAATCTTGAGTCTGTTGATTGTGGATGTTTTGCTCCAGCTATTCTGACAAGACTGCAGATTTAGAATATCTTCTGCTAAAAAAGGCAGTATCGTTAAAGGCTGTTCTTTTTTTAAGTATATTTTGAATGCGTATGGGAAAACAGGTGGAAAAAAATTCACAGCTTGGACAGCAAGAAACCGAGTTACAATTTTGTGTGTAAGAATTTGAGCCACCTTGGTGCCATCTGTTCCACACAACTATTTTATTTAGCATTTTTCATAAACATGAAAAACCTGACTGCCTCTGTTCTCCTGCAGTCTTGAAAATTAATGTTCAGCAATGTCAGTGTAACTCCTCAAACTTTTGAATGTTCATTACTTTGTTTCAGCGAGTATATTTTAGCTTACTCTTTCAAATAGTTGCCCTTTGTGGATTAGCACACTAACTCTGCAGTAATTCTTAGTCTTAAAGTTACAGCAATTTCTGATAATTCTGCTAGAACAGTCACTCATGTGACAGTTCTACCTTATTTCTGCTTTGCTTTTCACAATTGGATCTGTTTCAACTGAACTATTGCCAGCCTCCCATATAAACATGGGAGGACAAATTAATTGTTTGGTTAATTTTACTTGTGACGGCAAGTGAATGTAGCAGAGTGGATTTTTTTTTGGTGTTTTGATTTGGTTCTGGTTGGTTTGTTTGGGGTTTTTTTTCAAAGCTACTTGTTCATGAATTGTGACCGGGAGGAGAATTTGAGTCAACATTTTTGTTCACTTTGAGTAGAAAAGATAGTACCCATCTCTTCAGGGAGTGGCTGGGGGAGAGGGGAGCTGGAGCAGGGGCTGGCACTGTTGTATGGGACTGTCATGTACCAGTTGCTGGGCTGGAATGTTTTTGTTCAGCACAATCTTCTGGAAGCCAGAATTCAAACTCCCCTGTCTTTAGAACAGTTTTTCGCTCTTTACAGTTTGTGGTTCTCTAAAATAATTAATAATAAAATCAGTGGATATTGAAGCCCCTGATAGCCATCTTATTTTACTGAGAATAGGCTTGGTTTTGTGTGCCCTGGGTTGAGATCTGAGAGTTTTTCCCAATTAATGTAAGTGTATTTGTTGGATGTGGCAGGCATGCATTTATCTTCCTTTTTGAATGAATAAGTAAAACCTCTGAGTGCCATCTTTCGCCTTTGGTGCAGTAAAAACATGAAGAATAAAGGTTGGCGCTAAATAAGATCAGCTGTTAAAGTTGCATTTTTGTACAGACCCCTAATAAAAACAAAGTGCCGAACTTCACCACGTGGTGGCATCAGACCAGTGATCCTGAATCCTACATGTTAACTGGTCAGAGCGCGAGCTGAGTGTGACTTGGCCTGAGAAGCAGTAAAGGTACACGAGCTGCTGGGAGTAGAATGGCTGTTAGATTCAGGTCCCATTTTGTGCTGTACCTAATTTTCAGTAGCCATTATCTAATTTCTAGTAGGTGTTTTCTGGTCTTTTAGCAGGCTTCACAAGTTTCCTTGTTAATCTTACATATATCTTAATGAGTTCCTGGATTTACAGTGTTGTATACCAAACAGGCTGTAAAAGTTTACAGCACCTTGTGGAATTTCTGAAAACGTGGATAGGTGTAGAAATACACTGAGTTGCCCGTGGCTTCCCAGTGCCTGCATTCTTTAACAATACTCTGTGGTACTTGAAGGTTTATGGCAGCAGCAGAGGGGAGACTGGGAAGGAGATAATTTATCACTTCAGCGTTTGACTGCCTCTGTTTGAAATAACCTGCCATAGGAGCTGGAGTTGTTTAATGATGGACTTGGCACTATGGTAACGTTGGCGTTAAGGGAATATTTCTCCAAGGGAGAATTTGATATTCTGAGCTCTACATTGCTCAGTAAAATTAATATAACCTGATATGTTTCCTTAGTATCTGGGACTACTTTGTTGTGAGATATTTAACAAGGAAGACTCATGGGAGTATGTTATCCATCTGTACTAATTAGCATGACCTAATATACGTTGCTTAGCACCTGAGGCTATTTTGTTGTGAAATACTTAAGGGAGAGACGCATGGGAATATGTTCTCAATTCATACTGTTTGTGTTTTTAGAACCTGATCAACCTCAAGAGCAAGTCAGCAGTGAGGATGATGAAGAGGATGATAGCAAGGAGGAGGAAGAGAAGGAAGATGATGCTGAAGAGCCGAGTTTTGTGATGGGAAGAGGATGAGGCCTTTCAGGGACAGCTGGAAACACTGTTCATTGCTTTATATTCAGGAGCATGAAAGTCTTTCATCTCAGCCAAGCAGAACCCATTGGCGTACGTTATATCTGCTTAACGGTGAATGACCTTCACGTCACAGGCCCAAGAGATAGTGATAGAGAAATGCCAAATAAGAGATTTTTTTCTTAATTGCTTGTATAACTGCTGTGCAGTCTGCTCTAAGTTTGCTCTAAAGAGTCAGCCATAAGTCTCTGTGACCCTAGAGTTCTTTCTAACATGGCCCAGAGTGTTTTTCTGTCTGAAAGCTAAAACATATCCATTACTATTTAAGGAAAATATTACTGTGAGGGCTACGTATTCTACTTATGTCAAAGCTGGTAGCAGTGGGATACATGAATCTTAAGGGAGGAGTTTAACCTAAAGTATAAAAGTAGTCTGTAGCCAGACTCTCCTGCACTGTGAGTGTTCTGAATTTGGGGTTTTGTATGGGGTCATCTCTAACCCAAAGAAATCAGTTTATGTTGCTAGACAAGTTCTATAGATTTTTAAGCAGGATCCCTTTTTTATTGCTAAAACTTTCCCTATTACTTTTCTTCCGTGTTTTTTAAATTAATAAAGGGGATGTGTTGGCTTGTTCTGTCTTCTTTTTTTTTTTTTGAAGAGGATTTCAGTAAAATAAAGAGGTGTTTGCAATGCTGCAGGAAGGGACAAAAAGACGAAGTGATGTGGCGCACATGAAAATATGGAAAAAGGTGTTAGCTGCATTTCATTTACTTTTTGCTTTTGGATTGGAACAATAGCTTTGCCAAAAGATTATATCTGTAAAGCCTCTAAATCCTGTGGCAGAAAGGCTTGAAATGGAATGGTTTTGCTTGTGTTCAGCTTCATGTAATGACACTTGCCTTTCTCTCTGCTTGAGCTCTCTGCTTTGACCTTTGGGTTCCCTAGTAGGAAGCATAACATCCGTATGTATATTTACTATTGGTGCTTAAATGAAAAGCATATGCAGTGGTGGTTTTATTTGCAACGTAGGTTGTTGTCTTTTCTGTGTATGTTTAATTAGAAGTGCCTGCTATCTTTCAGACATGCTCATCCAGGACCTTGGCACCCAGAACGTGGTGCTACTTCTTCTCAAGCCTTTGTTAATGCCAAATTATTTAAAGCAAAAACAATAAAAAGGGAGAAATCTCTTTTTAGATTGAGCCTTTGTTGAACAGTGCTGCCAGAAATCCTGCATTTTGCCTGAGCTGGCTTTTTGTAATGGCTTCGCAGTGGTGTTACCGTGGTGGCGGGGAAGTGGATGTGATCAAGTGCAAGTGATGTTTGTGTTTAGTTCCCCTGTACATACCCAAAGACATAAGAGCTGGATAGCTTCTGAGCTGCAAGGTCCATAACCCCACCACCCCTGGGTTAGAGAGCTGCATGGAATTGTTTTCTGCTTAATCTCTGCAGAGGCAGGTGCTTCAGAGTAAGTTGTGATAGTGTTTCATTCTCTAGCGCTTAAGCTGCAGAATGGATGTTCTGCAGTCGTTGGCGTTTTCCCTGTGGAGAGGGATGAGTTATGAGAATTGCTTCACTTGAATCCCCCTTAGGGCAGGTAAACCCTGTTGATACGTCCATGTCGTAGAATAAGCCATAAAAACGTGATGTTTCTTAGCTTTCGTGGACAGAGAAGAACCAAGAGTCTCACAAATAAACAAAGACTGTTCTGCCTCTGAGCTTGTCAGGCTTTGGAGCTGAATAAATAAGGGCTGTTTTGCATTAAGTAGAGCAGATGTTGCTGCATGAGGACACGCTTCTCAGTCGTAGGGAAGATGGACTTGAGTTTGTCTTGATGAACTAAACAAATTCAGGTTGTGTGTGGCCTCATCCTGCCTCCTTAAGACGCCATTGTTACCCGTGCTGAATTATTCATATTCTTCGTGTTGTAGGAATGCTAAGTTTGTAGGTGAAATCCATAAAAAGCAAAGAGAATGTGTTGCTGAAGGTGGTATCTGCTTTACGGTCTTTCTTGCTGGGGTGGCTGAATGTAACAGTAGGAGCTGTATTTGGTAGGTGTTGCTATGAATTCTGAAAAATACTATGCCATGTTGTGGTGGTTTGTGTCAGTACTACGTCTTCCAGAATACAAAGGCACTTCAGAGTGAGCTTTGAAGGGATGTTTCTTCATTAAGACAAAATTCAAGTACTCTGTGACCTCAAAACGGGGAAAACATTGTCCATAGAGTAGAAAAAGGGAAGTGCTCCCATGTGTAGTAAAATGAGGAGCAATTCTACAATTGCTTCCTGTTCCAAATAGGGCACTGAAAAGGCAGTAGTAATGTGAAGGCTTTAAACTGCCAAGGAGTTTGACCTGCTTACGTTAAATTCTTGCTCTGGATTCTTTTCTAGAGGAGTCCCTCTCCTTTCTCTGATGGAGACTAATCTTCAGGGGCTAAAGTTTGCTGCTGTTCCATTTCTACTTGCGTTGGTGGGAGCGTGGGACCCCAGGAGACAGCAACGTTAGTGCTGTAACCGAGCAGAGGTATTCATAATCTCAGAGGTGACAAGCACGCTCAGGATAACAGATATATTTGTCTTTTTAATAAGTTTTTAGGAAGTGTTTGTCTTTTCCCTCCCCCAGGCAGAAGTTAATTCAGGAAGATGGGATTTACCCTGTGATAAAGCTGACCCCATTGTGCTGCCTTTCAGCGTTTTATCTTTCAGGGAAGGAACTCCTTCCTTTTTCCCTTAAGTCTGTCCCTACCCTTGCTCTTTTGATGGGTTTATACAGGATTTCCTGCGAGTCCCTAGAGGAGGAATGCAGGGAGGTAGCAGCCTGGCTTCCTTGGCCCTCCTCCACGCAGGGAGCCTTGGCCGTGCTTCAGCCAGAGGATATTGCAGCTCGGCGGAGGCCGAAGTCAGCACTGCCTTTTGACTTATGTAAGTGGCGACTTTTTGCTGTATAATTAATAATTGTAATAAAAGCACGTTTACATCCCATTGCACCAATACCTTCTCTGTGGAAAGACGCAAGGTCCAGACTGAGTAACGTTTTTACCAGTGGGGAGGGTTTCACCCCGACCATGAATTTAGGGAGCCGCAGACCGGATTTTGGCTCCCACGGGTGCGTGCTGGCGCAGGGCCGCGGCCCCCGGGGTGTCAGCCCGCAGCCAGAACGGCTCGGTGGCCCCGGAGGTGCTGCCGACAGCTCGGGGTGTCCCTCTGTAACCGCGAAGTACAGGCCCCCCCTTTAGTAAAACCCCCAAAGCACTCCCCCCGCTCTCGGAGGGCAGGGGGGCGCGGACGCCCCGGGG